GTTCTAGCAACTAATGACTAATGATTACTAAGTGACTAATTACTAAGCAACTAAGTGACTAAGCGACTAAGCGACTAAGCGACTAAGCGACTAAGTGTCTAAGCGACTAAGTGATTACTAATCAACCGGAATGTTCTGGCAACTTCTACTAATAATAATAATAATACAATAATAGAATAACTAATACTAAATAAGAATAATAATAAAATAAACTAATAATAATAAAATAATAATAAATCATTCTATAACAATATCTTGCAGGAGTATCCACATCTCTTTATTCTTTTCTTTTGCTTCTTCTATTATCATGTTTAGAACATGTACAGGTTGTTCTGTTGAGTTTTCTGGTAGGCCTGCATAGTTTGGTCCTTTAAGTATTTTTCTTTTCATAAATATTTTGTTAAGTCTTTTTATTATTGACTTTGTTACAACCTTTCTGAATGTTTCAATTAAGGCTATTAGATGAATATTATTTAAACAGTATCTCTATTCTATGTCTTTTGATATTGTATATACTTGTGCTAATTTTTATTTTATTGGTATCTCTTTTATTTCTAAATACAAATTTGCATAAGCTCTAAAAACCTCTTGAGTTTTCCTTTCTACTTATTTGATTAAGATATAACTTATTCCTAATATTCCTAGAGCTGTTCCTGTCTTGAGTTTTTTAACTATCTCATTCCATTTTTTTTCTTTAATTTTCTTTTTGATTTCCTTATACTATTTTTCTTTAATGTAGCCTTATGGTTTATAGATTTTTTTCCAGCTTTCTGACATCTCTTTTAATTTTGTATTTCTTTTTCTAAACTGCTTTTTGTAGTATTTTACTGTTGCTTCTTTAACTAGCTCTGCTTCTGTTACTAGTCTAGTTTCTTTTCAGTTTGTTTGATTATTTTGTCAAGTGTTACTTTCTTGTATAGCTTGTTTAAAAGACTAGCTATTATCTTCTCTTGATTAGTTTTGATCATTTCACATCTTTTGTTTATATTATCTTCTATTTGTTTTCTTTGTTTCTGTTCTCATTCTTTTTTCTTTTTCTTTTGTAAGATTTTCTGCCAGCCTTTTATGTCTTTTATCTAAGCATCAAACCATTGTCTTTGGATTTTTGGTAGTCTTGCACCAACTTTCTTGTTAAACATCTTGAGGTTTCTATTCACTTCGCTTTTATCTGCTTCTGTTACTTTCTGTTCTCTTTTTGTTTTTGCATACTTGACTAGTCTTTGAAGTTCTATAATGATCTTTCTTTGTTGTTGATCTTTTTGACTATGTCTTCTGTTTATTATTGTGTTGTAAACCTTCTTCTTTGGTATATGTTTATTTGCTACTATTATAATTGCCTCTTCTATTATATCTTATATTTCATTAATTTTCTGTATTTTCTCTTTCTCTTCTTGTTCTTCTCTTTGTATGTTTCTTAAAGTTTTTTTTATCTCTAATTACTTCTGTATCTCTTGCATGTAGCTCTTCTACTCTTTCTCATTTGCTTTATCATAGAGATATATTGTTCTTGATTGGCCCTTTCTTTTGACTTTTGCCTTACTATTTTTATAGTCATATGTCTTATCCATATTTCTGCTATAACTATTTTATGATCACTTTCAGTGATTTCTTCTATGTCCTTGATTTTTGCTCTTTGTAGACCTGATACCAGTCCTTCTAATACCCATATATAGTCAATTCTTGTTGCTATTTCTGAGTTTGACCATGTGTATCATTGTTCTGTTGAGTGCATTTCTTTTATGTATTGTACAGGTCTTGTCTTTTTATCTAACTGAATAATAATAATCTTTTATAGTTTGCAGCTTGTGGATTTTGTCTATCTAGAACATTGTTCACTATATGATTAAAGTCTCCCATAATCATTATTTGTGTACATCTATTCTTCTTTGTAATAATTTCAACTATTTTTTGTTGAATGCTTCTTCCTACTTCTTTGTTACTTGGTAGTATATAGACCCTTATTACTATTAATTCCATTTGCTTAAAATATAGTATAATTTCTATTATGTATTCATTTATTTTTCTGACTGTGCCTACATGTTTTGCCCATTGTTCTTCTATTAGCAACCCTATACCTGATCCCTTTTTTTTGTCTTTTGCTATGCTACTCCAAAACCCAACATATCTTTTTGTTGTTTTATGTAATAAAAATTTTTCTTCTCTCTTTGCAAGATTTGTTTTAGTAATTTCTAGTATTGCAATTTCTTCTTCTTCTGCCCAGCCGAGCAGGTTTTCCAATTTCCAACCTTTGGTTTTTAGTTCATTAATATTGTAGCATGCTACTTTTATCTCTTTTTTTCCTTCTTTCCATTTCTTTTTTAACTGGTTTTGTAATAATTCTGTGTTAACTGCTTTTTCTTTTCCTTTTTTGCATTTCTTTTCTTTTAGATAAGGAGATACTATTCTTTCTTCAAAAACTTCTCTTTCTCTTTACAGAAAATTTTCAACTTCCTTATTTGTTTTTGTTAATTTAACTATGGCACCTTTAGGAGCGATCTGGTTGGGCTTTCTATGCCCTTTCTCTAGCTATTTTCAATTTTTCTAGTCTTTCTAGTATTTGACCTAATATGTTTTTCATGTCTGATGCCTGCTCTTGTGCTTTTCTTATACTCTCAGCTTCTTTTCTTGGTTTATCTTCTTTCTGATCTGTACTTACTAAGTTTTCTTTTTCATTTCTTTTGTTCTGGTGACTTCTATATTTTTGTTTATTTCTTCTATTGTTCAGTTTTGTACTATATTTATTTCTCTTCATATACTTTTCTGGGTTTGTATACTCTTCTTCTGAGTCAAGGTCTTCTATTTTTTCTTTTTTTTTGTATCTTTTGTATCTTATTGCTGCCTTTATAAGGTTGATCATCTAATCTTTTTAGTTTGACTTCCCAGAACATCAAGACTCTATTGTGCCAGACCTTTTTCCTAATAGTTATATTCATATCTTCCTGACTTTTAAATGACACTACTGCATAATTTCTTGGTCTTCCCTATCTGTTTGGTGGAATATATACTGTTATTGCCTTTCTGGTTTTGAGCTCTCATAGTAGAATTAGTTCAGAGATTCCCTTTGGTATTCCTATTAGTTTTGCTGTGAATTGATTTCTTTCTTCTTTCTTTTTCTCTTCTTCTTAACTTATTGTCATTCTTGCTAACTTTTTATTTCCTAAGAGAATTACCCATAGAAGTGCTTGTTTTTTTTCTCTCTTTACTTTTATTACTGCTGTTGTTCTGTATGCACTTCTTCAAATTCTGCATTCTGTTACTTTACCTATTTTTCTTACTAGGTACTTAATTTTATACTCTGTTATCTTCTTTAGCAGGTCCCATACTGTTACTGCTACTGTGTTTTCTTTATTTTCTTTGTCTATGCTTTCTTCTTCTTGGTTGTGTGACTTGTCTTCTGTTTTCTTGATTTCTTCTTTATTCTTCTTTTCTTCTATTAGCTTCTTTTTCTGTTTTAACTTCTCATCTTTTTTGATCTTCTCTTCTTCTGACTTGTCTATGTCTGGAATCATTCTAAACCAATCATTATGTTTTCTTTGGATTTTGTTAATTGCTTCTTTTCTGTTATATTTACAATTGAATGTGACAATAATCCAAGCATTACCTCTCTTAAACATTTCTTTACCTTTTTAACATGTTTGTTGAATACTAGCAGTCTGTTAACAAATTTTGTTCTTTCCTCTTGTGAATTACCTAGTACATTGTATGCTAGTATTTTTGCTGTATACATTTTTTCATTATTGCATTCTCTGTTCAAGGGTAACCAGATGCTTCATTCTAGTAGTTCTTCTATAGTCTTATCTTTGTTTTTCCATTGTTCTGTTTCATAGATTTCATCTTTTTCATTCATCTCAGTTTTTTCTTGGTTTCTAATTATCATGATGATGTCTTTATAGTTTTCTTGCATTATGTTTGTCTTTAATGTCTTTATTTCTTCTTTTATATAGTTGTCTATTTTTGTCTCTTCGATCATCATGTTTGTTGTTTTTGTATTTGTAACTTCTTTGCTTTTTCTTCTTTTTTGTCTCTTTTTCTCTTCTAAATTTGTATTTTGTCATATCTTTTTTTTATTTATTATTATGTCTGCTGCTTCTGTCTTTTGTCTCATTTTCTCTACATACAATTTTGATATGTTGTTTTCTTCTTTCAATACTGTTTGGACTTTTTTGCTTCTTATACTTTGCATTGCTAATGGGTGTTGGCTTGTGTAGTTTATCTCTTCTGCCTATTTTTCTATACTTGTTGAATCTCTTATGTCTACTTTAATTATTGCTTCATATATTTTCCTTATCATTACTGTTTCTATTAAATCTGTTTTCTATAATGCTGCTGCTACTATATCTCTTACATTGAAATGTTTGTCTCTATTTCTAGTTCTTGCTCTAATTCTTTGCTGCCTATGAGCTTTAGTATTGCCTCTGCTCTTTCACTTATCAATTTTAGCATCATTGACTCTTCTGCTTTTGCTTGTGTCATTTGTGGCTGTATTCTGTGCTGCTTTGTTTACAATCATGTGTACTCTATAATACTTACATGTTTACTTTGTCTATATTTGTACATGCCTGTTTGTTTGTCTCTTCATATGCTCACATGTTTCAAACAGATCTGCGATTTCAGGTCTAAGCTATTTCCCCAAAATTTTGCTTTTTGAGGTTCATTTAAAAAGTTTGTCTTTTCTTTATTGCTTCTTGGCTTGTTTTCTTTAGCTCAGCTCTTTCTTTTTTGTTAAATCTTCAAGCATAGTTTTAATAGTAGTTTTCTTGTTAGTCTTGATTTTTGTTTCTGCAGGTTTTGTGTTTTGGTAATCAGCCATATTTTATATTATAATATATTAAAGATTTTATAAATTTATATAAAATTTACCGTATTTCTGTAACATGTGTATTCTCCTGTGGGCTGTACCATGTGGCAATTTTGAACGCCAAATTGTGATTTATATCTGGGTATTAATCATGATACTCCTTCGATATGTGTACCCCCCTAGGAGTTGTACCCTACCTCCGGAAAACTTATAAATAAAAATTTTTAACTAATTAACTTTCAAGATCAGAGGTAACGTGGCTTTTATTTGATATATCACCTTAATTCTAACCAGTGCAGTATCTATACAGTAAATTTTAATCGAAGCCTACTTAAATAGGTAACATAATAATAGCAAAAAAAAATTTTGCAACAAATGTATACAGTAATTAACACATCGTATTTTATTTTTACTTCGATTTAATTGCCAATATCTATGAACTCAAAACTTTATTATTATATCTAGAAATTATTAGAATCAAAAAAAAACAAAAATCTAGAATTCTATTCCAAAACAAAAAATCTAGAATTCTATTTCCAAACATTATTGATACCTTCGACTTCTTCATACTCTTCACCCTCAGTATCATCAAAATTTATTGGCTCAGAATTTTTATCATTTTCACTTGCTGAATTCTTATTTACTTTGTCATAATCAAAAACCAGATCGTTCTCTGTTCTATCCATTTTAACCAAGATATCACAACACTTGAACACTTTTATAATCAAGCGAGAATCAACCTCTTTCTATAAATCTATTACCCACTGAGCAAGTATAGCATATGATAGCTTTCGAAAATGTTCAGCTGGTGTTGATGAATCGTTTCAGACATCCATGTATCATAACGGCGATGAATCTAAAAATAACAAAACTTTTAGTTTTGTTATGCATCACTAATATGTATTTACCAGTAATACAAATAAAAATTTTTATTATACTATATATCTTACTCTTGAAGCTCTTGTTAACTGAGACATTCAGAGGTTGGAGTCTGCTAGTTAACCCTCCTGGAATTACTGCAAGGTGAGTGTTGTCTTCTTTAAAAAGATATTTGACAGAATCTACTAAATGACTCCGAAAGAAGTCCAAGACGAGAAGGGACTGCAGTTTTATCAGTTCACTACATTTGTTCCAAATGTTATTAATCCAATAGTGCATCTCATGTTCATTGCACCATCTCTTTTCATTCACTCTTATGACTACACCTTGAGAAAACACTTCACAGAGAATATTTTTTAGTTTAAAAATACACACTGGCAGAAGCTTTGTTCCATCTGTGAGACACCCAAGAATTACTGTAAAGTTTGTTCTTTCATGCCCAGTAGTTCTGATACCCACTGTTTTAGACCCATGTTTTTTGATAGTAACCAGGCTAGACATGTCAAAAGATAGAGGAGTTTTGTCCATATTCCCAATAAGATTAATAGGAAAATTGTATTTCTGGCATTTAAACAAAATGTATCAAGATCAGCTGGAAGGTGCTGAGCAACTGTTGTATATCTATGGTTCGAAAAATTATGGCGACACAAGAACCGACTTAACCAGCTTATGGAAAATCTACAGTTACCAATATTAGGATAAACATTTTTAAATTTATTAGTTTGAGCCAATGCCTTGGCTTTTTTTACAACTATGTTTTGGGTGACAGCATTTTGCTCATTACGGCGATCATTAATCTATTCAATCAGCCTTTCTTCCAACATTGGATACTGGGCCTGTTTACTATGGTTAAGAGTTAAAAGGTATGATGCAGTGTTCAAAAGTTCATCCTTTTTGCTAACTTAGCAAAAAAAATAGACCGCTATATATCGATTACTAACCATAGGATATATAGCGATGTTAATCACCCCTGCCGATTTA